ATCTATCTATCTATCTATCTATCTATCTATCTATCTATCTATCTATCTATCTATCTATCTATCTATCTATCTAGAAACTCCCTATTTATTCAACTCCTAAGAACTATTAAACGTAGGATATGTAGTACAGCTTTTTTATTATTCCTATGCATCAAGCAATACAAAAACTAATTTTCTGTTATATGTTTCCTCTCATCTATCAGTTGCTTCAGTTGAGCTAAGGGAACTGGTGATGATAAATGCAACTATATATGGCATATGTAAGACTACATAAGATATTTAATAATAATCTTCCATAAAATACATCTTACCTGTTCATGAAGCTCTCCTCCTCCAGCATTGTAGACCTGTGTTGAACAGAGACAGATATCCTCTAATATTTCATTTAACTGAGCAATGCTGTGAGAAACAACTTGAGAATTATTGGGCAGTTGATTCAGAGGCAATGTCTATAATACATAAAGTCATTTTTTTGGATTAAGCTATGTGAAGATGACATTTCTGAATGAAGTTTCTCTCTTGTACATTCATGTCATTTTACATGGAAGCATTTTAATGGCTATGCCTTAAACCATTACAAAAGAAAACTGGCAAATATGATGTATTTATGCATGCAAGCATTCATGTTATGATGATCTAAATTAAATCATAATGTGGTTTCTACAAAACACAAATTACCTGTAATTAAATTATCATAAAGTGCCACCAATTTGGTCATTTTCTATCACAGAACTATTTTAACTAGTCACTAAGTCATATCTAAACATTGAGCTCATGGCACATCAACAATGGTAGCAGTTTTATACTGCATAGTTTACTTAATGAAGAATCAGTGTGGCAACTGAGAGCCAATCACCAATACTGGTAATATTTGCAACTTGTAACTGGTGTTCTGGTGAATACATGGGCTTTTACTTTTCTTGGGAAGATTTTTCAGAAATGAATTGCTATTGCTTTCTTTCTAAGGCTGAAAGATGATGATTTGCCTCAAATCATACAGTTGGCTTCATTCTCAAGGCTGGAATAGAATTTATAATCCATAGGTTCTAGCCAAGGGTTATAACCAAGCTGATTCTCGGTCTAAACATAACATCTTCCATCTTTATTTTGTCTTATATTTATTAAATCCATTAACTGGTACAGTTAATAGTTAACTCAAATATGCTATGATTATTTTTAGTTCATTGTAACAACTATGGGTGTAATCATAGTTCTCAGTTAAATCCTGCCTTCCTTTGTGGAGGAAGACTGATGTGACTTCATAATAATGACTAGACTTTCCTAAAAATCCCATTGAGCATGAAATGAAGTGCAACTGTACTATGTATTGAAGTATTGAAGTATCTGTCTTCTTAACAATTTGGATATAGGACCTACTTTAAGTCAAATTATAACCAGGTAAGATGGATACCCTCTTTTTTATTTGCTGATTATCACCTATAAAGTGTCTATGGCATGAAGCTTAGTTATCTGAGGAATCAGTTATCTCCTGTGGTTTCTTTCTCACTGATGGACAGAGTTGGCACACTCTGGATCTCCCACATTAAACCATGTCATCTTTTGGGATTCATTAAATGCTCCTTTTCTGTTATAGTTTCTGTCTTCTGGTATAAGGCAGTCCCTGAGATCCCATTATAATGGCATTGGAGGCCCTTAAAGACAGTGGGTTCTCCAAAACTTTGTTATAGGGTATATGGAATTTATCTTGCTCAAGAGTTTTGACATGTGTTGTATATGTTTGGATGTGAGTTGTCCAAACTACTGTTACTTTAATATTGTTTTATTATTTTATTTTACTTTGCTTTTATATTGTCAGTTGTCCAGAGTAACCAGGTGGCACTAAAATCAAATTGATTAAATTAAATGAATAATTATGAAAAGTAACTAGATGATTTTAGAAATATGTAAAAAATAGGTTTGACAGGAAGTAGATCATCATAGGATTTACCAGCATCAGGCATTAAACCATAAGTTTTGGCTTCTTCATATACAAAGGTGGGTGTGGGTGTGAAATAACACAAGAACTGATTTGGGATATAAATAACTAAACTATGGAATATAAAAAGCTGTGAGAAAGAGCAATTATCAGGCAATTCAGGCTAAAGGGACTGTAAGCTACAGTTAATATTATACATGGTTAAAAGGTACAGCTCCAGGACCTTTTCCCAGATTATATATTTTAAAGGTTTATTTTACTATCTCAGATGTCATGGATGAAATCAGAAGGTGAGATTCAGTGGAACCATTTGTAACTGACAAATATAGTCATGTACCATTCTGTTCCGTCTAATTTCCCAGCAAATTTGTAGCTGCTGACATATGGCTCTTGTATGTATTGACATATTTTTCTTTGCAACTTATTTGACTGCTCACAAAATTCATTACTCTACACATTAATTACAGCATATTGGTTACCAATTGGAAATAATCTTTTGGAAAGGTTTCTCACCAAGAATACAGAATGATACCATAGACTTTTAAAATATTCAGTTAATTATTGCTTGATGGCAACTGAAATCAGAGCTCTAGGACTGACTTCTGCTCTTTCTCTAACCTATATTTAATAGCATATTCAGGTTTGCTCTTTAGAATCAAGAAAAGAATCCTGGACATTTTAGCCTTCTCAATATATATCACAAAAAAGGGATATTCCTGAAGACATGGGCAGAGTAATTAGAAAAAAAATGAAATTGCTTGAACTACATTTGTAATCATAAGTGACTTCAGAGAGTGGCTTTGTTAGGCCTAACATTTTAACAGATTGTTCAGCTAAGTAGCTGAAGGAATACAGGTCTAAATTCTCCCCTTGACTGAGTACTGTAAATATATAAAAAGAAGTAAATTGTATTCCGTTTGTATTAAAAAAACCCAAAATCAAATAAAAATAGAAGGTTTTATTTGCAGAGATTACATTTTGACTTTGTAAGTAGTTATTTGCACATAATTGTTGTGGTTCATTGTGTTGCTATAGGTGATTATAAAAATGTAATTTAGTATTTTCCAGAATAAATACAATAGTTGCAGACTGCTTTTGCAAAAGAGCAATCTTAGTTACTTTATCTATAAACACAGTGGAGATCTTACACAAATCTTCATACAATCATAGTATGAAGAAAAAGAAGTTGCAGTAGATTAATTATATTGATTTGTTCCAATATTTTGTATTAATACATTTTAATATATACTGTACTGCATGCATTTATTTAAATTGTTCTTTCACCAATATTTGAAATACATCTGAAAAAGATAGCTGCAACAGTATATTTTATAGTACACTACTATTCTAGAGCTAGCCTAGGGCTCTGGTTTTTCATAAAAGTTAATGAATTTCTAGATTTGTCAGCTGTTTCAACCAGATGCACTTTGGTAATTTAATGGAAATATTTTCAATTCAATTCCAATTCAATAGCTTTTAGTATTGAAAATTAATTTGGCTATTGGACATATAGCATAGTGGTTTTTGATAACAATAGCAAATATTTTAACACACATGATTAATATTAAAAATGTATCCATACCATTTGATACTTAAATATAAAAACATCTCCTTTTCTTTTTGCAGAGTTTTAAACTGAATGTAGACAGCCACTGTGCATTAAAGGAAGCTGTTACAGAAGAAGGATGTCAACTTCTCGATCTTATAGTATCTCACAAATCAGGTAGATTCTTCTGAAATATTGCAAGTCTTTATGTCTCCAGACTATTAAAGAATAAAGAAGCATTGCTGTAAATTACCGCATATATTTGCTTCCTTATGTATTATTAATATTTACATTATCACTTTGACCTTCAAGATTTATAAATGTTTCATATACTGCATACAATGCTGTGATACTTATAAAATGAAATACTGCTAGCAAATAGTATGTTCATTTTATTTTGGTCTTGCTGTTGAACTGACTTTCAATTGAAATTACACCACTGAAAACTTCACGTTGACATGTTCTTTGATGTAAGTGCTACGGAAATATCATTAAGATGATAAATTGGGATTTTATATCTATGCATACGTATATTTTTACATAGCTAGCATGAATAATTGCATCGATGAAGTTCCTTTGCTATTTAAACTAATTATTACGGCAATTTTAAAGTCTTTATTAAGAAATATTAGAAGTGATGATTTTGGACAGTTTTGCATGCAATTTTCAATACAAGCCTGGATAAGTCAGGAATCTTTTTGTCATAGTTCTTGACCATCTGGATTTAATCAAAACACTCTATATTGCTAAAAATTGCTAGCATTATTTTGGCTGATTTTTTTTCTTTTGTCTTTTTCCTCAATAAGATGAAGGATCTGGAAGATTTTTCAGTGGTTCTTTTGTATTTTGTTATCAACCTGGCCATCTAGTATGTAAAATAGCACCACCACCCCAGGTTCAGTTGACCTGCATGAGTTTCTGGAGCTTGTAAAACCATACCACGGTCTCATAAACTGACCATATAAGTAATTATTTGTCCTTAAAGATGAACAACAACAAATATCTGCTGTTTAATATCTGTAAACAGAAGAAAATAGGATGGTATTTTTTTTTACTGTTCTATATGAATCTGAGATTGAATATTATTTTCCTTTGCTGACTTCAGCCACTGCTGTCTGTATGTCATGTTTTGATCCTATAGCATTGTTTGCAGTGCCTGTTAGAACTCTTGATCTGATGTCTCTGTAGTAAAGAATGCCAGAGTATTTAAGGCAAAAGGATTTTTATTTCCCCTAAGATTCCTTGCCTTTAACAAATAAGGTTCTTCAAATGATAACGTGGAATGTAGGACTTAATTTCTTTCTCTCATTGTTTGGAGAAGGACTGAAGGACATGCTGCAGATGATTGCAAGTCAGTGGAAGGAACTACAGAAACAAATCAAACGACAACACAGCTGGATTCTTAGGGCTCTGCGTATCATCAAAGCAGAGATACTGGCTACTGATGTGTCTGCAACGGATGAGGAAGGGACTGAGAGCCCCAAGGTAAGTGGCTTGAAGTTTGTCTTATTTCCTCTTATTTCAGCCTCCTTTTGAACTAGGCATCACTGAAGTCTTCTTTCCACCCTGAGGCTTTTCATTTCTACTGCGTAAAAATTTTACAAACAAAATAAAATGTATCTTTCTGAAACAATATCCATTCTAAAAGGCAGAAACTTTTTACATCTTTTAGACAAACTTCTCTGGGTGGAAATCTAGAAGGGGCAGGGAAAGGGATGTAAAATATTTAGTAAACAAAACATACAGTATCTTTAACATGAATAATCAGAATGGTTTTAAATTGTTTTGTTGCAACTATAAATCACCATAATCAGTGCAATCACTCAGCTCTGACATCCATTAGCCGCTTGGTTACAGCAAATTAACAAAGAAGAGAGAAAGTGATTCATTATCTCATTCCTGTTAATGACTATCAGATGCATTGCCTAATTAGGGGATGGCCATTGCAGTGGGGAGAAGGTCATATGCTTTGCCACAAATCTTTTTTGCTAGGAATTTAAGCCTTTCACAATGGTGCATGTGTTGAATACATATCAATAATATATTGATATCTAAATCTATTTTTGAGGAATTCTCTGGGGACAATGAAAGCCACCTTCCCCTTATTCCTATAGGAATATGTTGATGGAGGAAATAGAAAACCTGCTGCTAGATGAATTGTATTGCATTTTCTTTCTTCTTCTCCCCTAAAAGAGAGGAGGAAAAGTGATATAATTCCAGGGAAACACATATTATTAAAAGACATTAAAATGTTGTGAAAATGTTGAAAGTGTTGATGCTGGGATTGTGACCTTGGACCATCACTATGATATCACAGACACTATCCAATAGCTAAATACAGCAAGAAAAGTTTGCATGCAGAAAGTTCTAAGTTCTAATCCCCCTGATTAATATTATGCTCCATATCAGTTGATGAGTTTTATAGTTAGATAATGCCATCAAGACTGGGTTGTATTGATAATTAATATTATATAAACCAACATATTGTCCGTTTAATAGTTCACTGATTCCTCCAAACATTAGAGTGGATTTGATAATACACAGGAGAGGAGAGAGGAATTCCATTCGTCTAATAGTGTAATTTTGTCAGATGGACAAATATCAATGAATTCCACCCTTAGATTCTGATTTCTGTGTATCCTTTTGGTGGCAGGATCCTGCTTCTAAGAAGCTTAAGGTCTCTCTCTCTCCCCCCCCCTCTCTCTCCCCCCCCTCTATCCCTCCCTCCCCCCCCTCTCCCTGTTGAGAGTATATTTTGGCCTTTTAATGGCATGTTAACTTCAAAACTGAAAAAAATAAACAGAGCTGGAACACACCACTTCCCTAATGGACAACCAGGGGGAAAATGAAAAATATGAAAAATTACTTGGAAGCTGTTGATATATTTTATCCTGATTTAATTAATAAATTCATATTTATTTATTTATTTATTTACTGAATTGTCTGTGCTGCTGCAGTTATAAATTAGGTACACAAGAAAAGAAGTATAAAAGCTTTGTAGGGAATTTATAAAACCTTCATGATAAAGGAAGAATAATAATCAAAAGCAACAATTTATCTAAAAAAGGGAGCAACACCCAAAGAAAATTCCTAAGATGGGGCATTTAATGACTGATTTTTAAAGCCTTGCATAATGGCTCTGCTTCAAGGTCTGAGCCAGTTGAATTTCCATTGAAGAGGGATCACCCAGATTTCATGGAGATAAGGAATCAAAAAAGTTTTTCTTAGGATGCACATATTGTACATATTGTTCTAGTTGGAGTAGGTGGGCCTGCAAGAATTTCTGTGCCAAACCATTTGTAATTTAAGAAATGAGTTTCTATTGGTGGCTGATGCAGGGGGGTCTATGACAATTTGCCACAGCCAACTTGCCACAGCCAACTCACTGCATGATAACTTGACATGGTCATTTTGCCACAGGACAACTCACTGCGGGACAAGAGTTTCATTAATACCAATGAAATGGTGGAATAGAATCATTAAAGAAAGGATGCAAAAGAAGGGACAGAATAAAATGTGAATGGCAAAAATTAAAATATTTTTTATGGATTTTAAATAATTAAATAGAATTGTTAAATTGTCCCACCACAAGTTGTCCCATGGCAAGTTAGCCATGATGTGTTGTCCTGCAGTGAATTGGCCATGATGAGTTGGCTGCAACGGGTTGGCCATGGTTGAGTTAGCCACAGCAAATTGGCTGTGGCAAGTTGTCCCATTCCCAATGCAGGGTTTTCAGCAAAGGTAAAATGTGCTCTTGGAGTTAGTTGATATATGAGGCAATGCATTTTATATCAACTGCCATTTCCAGGTGGACTTAACAGGCATCCCTTTGAAGGTTCACTGCACAGTCCAGATGAGTATGATTTATCGTTGTATGATCCATCTAGGACCATACTTATAATATGATTACATGAATTAAATGTGACAATATTTGAGCTCACACCCCAGAACAATAAAATGAAGCTAGGTCTGGGTTGAGCCCATTGAACTCCATCTGCTTTTAGTCATAATAAATCTCGATGTTTATTCAGAAGTATATCTATCTAAATTCAGCAGGAGTTATTATCCAACAATAATAAATAGAATCAGGATTTCAGCAAAAAAAATGAGTAGGCTGGTAGGACCCATGATAGTCTAGTTTTTATTTCTTACAGTGGTCAAATGCATGACTAAAGTGCTCATAAGCAATTTTAAGGCAACTCATTTTGGAAGAATGCTATTGCCAAACTAGGATAAGATTGAGTCTCTATGATTAAGAGAGTCTTCCATGAATGTATCCATCTAATTTTAAAGCCATCCAAAATGTTGACTGCCACTATATAATATGATAAGGAATGTTGAAAGGTATTTTCTTTTGTCGGTTTTAAATTTTCCAGTTATGTTAATTGTAGTCTTAATGTTTTGAGAGCGATACCTCCAACAAAATAACTCTTTTCCCTTTCATTTTTTCCATGCTTTTTCCATAGGCTGCATAATTTTATGTATCTCATAAAATATATGTATTATATTTTCCTTCTATCACTTTCTTTCCAAACTAAAGAACCCCAAACTTTCTAGCTTTTTATCATGACAAAGAAGTTTGAGACCAACCTGGTGATTGTAATAAATGTCTCTATATGCCTTTTTCTGGCTGCCTTATACTTTTTTCAAATGAGGAAACAAAACCTATGCTCTAGATAGAGATATACAATATATTATTTAAAGGGCATTATATATTTGACATATTCATTGAGCTATCCATTAGGCAAAATCTTTTTCTTGAATTCTTTGATACAAATTATCTGTCTGTGTATAAAATTAGAGATATTTTTTACATGCATCATTTTACACTAATTTAAACTGCAATTGCCATTTGGTTGACTATTCATTCAGTTTTAAGCAGTCCTTCTGGAATTCTTCCCATTTATTTTTGTTTTTACACAAATCATATATACTATTTGGAAAAACCTTTAATATTATCTGCCTACTGTTCGCCATATTGCTTACCTCTTAGTCATGATCATATATGAATATTAAATATTGTTGGGATTTCTGCTTCTAATTTCTCTCCTTTGGAAAAAAATAATCACTCATTTATTCCTATTCTTTACTTTTTTATATTTAGCAATTCATAAAAAGACAGCTCTTTCATTTTTTAAAAAAATTACCCATTCTTACAATTTGCCTGGAAAACATTAAGCCTATGGATCATTCTTGGGTCTTCCCCTGCTCCACAAATGTAACATCAACTATTTCCCAGTCTGTGAATGTTCTGCTATCAGAGCTGTCCAATTTCACAATAAGGTGATTTTGCCCAATTTATAAAAAAATATAAACAAGGATTGTACTACTACTGAGAAGTATAAACCATACAATAAAATCAAAGGATAGTTTAAAATCTACAGGTCCCAATATGTGAAAACAATCTATATGGCCAAGTAAAAGAACAAGAATTGAGCTAATTACATTTACTTGGGGTGGATTTCTACAATCAGGTTGCTGCTGAAAAAAATGCCACAAATAAGCACTGATTATACTTTTTTAAAGACTTTGCAACAAGTCTTTCGATGGAAGTACCAATTCAAGAAAGATTGACACAAGAGAGACAGTATATGAACTCTTCTGGACTTTTGAATCATTTTGAATTCTTTAGAAGAAAGCCAGCAACAAAAAAAATGAGTCTAAAAATTAATAGGAGACTATTAATATTGTCCAAAAGTTGAAGTAATGTTATGAAGAAAGTATGCTTCTGAAAGAACTCTACTAGTTGCCACATTCTATTCTTACTGCAAATTCTTAGCTCAATAGCAGCAGTACAAATACAATACAGATACATACCCATACCTATTGTTACAATTACAGTCATATATTACAAGAATAACTATTAAATACAGATTGCTGTGGCCAATCTTTATTCCAAGAAATAGTAAGCTTCAGCGGGCACTCTGATTGAACATGGACAAAGACACAACTGACTGTTCCTGTAATTTGATCTAGAAGCAATACAATTTTCAACAACGTCCTTGCTTTCTACTTGATTATTCAGAGAATGTATTGCTTCATCCACAGTAATTATATCACTACTTCTGAATTAGATTGTTTGCTTATCAATAGTACCGCTTCTTGACAAGACTAGACTGAGGATGTTCACTCATACTTAGTTTTTTACTACATCCTAACAAGGCTTTAGGACCTGCAAATTTAAACAAGCAGGAATTGAAAGAGAAACTTAAGAGTTGAGTGTTATTCACATATCAATATGATCCAAGTCTCAAACTCTGAAAGATCTTTCTTCACAGCCTGAGAATATAGGCGTTGTACAAAGAAATAAGATAGCACTATGAAGAATTTCACTGATGAAAAATCAAAGGGACGAGCAACAGAACTAGAGTTAGGTACACTCAGTAAATAAGTAAAAAGGGCTAGAATTGTATCAATCATTTCTATACCTGAGTCAGGCACCCCTAGCAGATAGCATCATGAAGATTACTAAATACTATCCTATA